AAGTAAAGTGCTAATTTTGCACAAAATTTAATTGAAAGCGGGTTTTTTAAATGTAAATTTGCTTACTGGCTTCAATATGGCCGTAAATACAAAAAAAAAAGTGTTTTCATATTCACTGCCATTATTTTACCCTACTGATTGTCATAAATATGGCGAATTAACAGAAATAATCGCATGACTGAAATAGATAAATAAATGCACTTGTTTGTTTTTTTGTGTGTTTTTTAGTTCGTAAAGGGTCAATGACAATAGATCAAGTTTTTGACACCAGTCTCAGCTACCCCAATAGTAATAAGTACAAACTCTATGCTAAAACAATTGAGTCAGCGGTAAGTATTTCAAATTTTGCATATTAAATATATTGATTGTTTCTGCATAAAAAAAGGGATAATTCACTCAAAAATTTAAATTGTCATCATTTACCCTCATGTTGTTCCAAACCTGTATGAGTTTCTTTCTTCTGTTGAACACAAAATAAGATATTTTAAAGAGTGTTGGTAACCAGACAGTTGACGAGCCATTGATTTCCATGTTTGTTTGTTTTTCCTACTATGGAAGTCAATGTCTACCGTCAGTTGTTTGATTACCAACATTCTTTAAAATATCTTCTTTTGTATTCAATAGAAGAAAGAAACTCGTACAGGTTTCAAACAACTTGAGGGTGAGTAAATGATGACAAAATTGACCTTTTTTGGGTGAACTATCCCTTTAATGCAAGGTTTATAATACAGAGTGTATTTTTTTAGGTAAATTTTTATTATTTAACCTTTCATCTGTTTCATGTAAATAAAAATGTACATCACAGTCTAACTAGTCAGAGTGTTGGCCAGAACAGAGCCATTTTTTAAGGAAATTGTCATGCTAAATCACAATCCTTCCATGTCAAATGAATCAAATTTCAGAAACTTCCCATGGCTAAAAAAATTTATTTTGTTTTTCTGTACAAAGACAAACATAAATAGTGATGATTGATGAAAGCCAAAATATTAAATGTCACAGATGTATATTTACTGAGTAATCCAGTAGAGGGAGCTCAAAATTACAATTTTCACCTGAGATTTGGTGCCAAAATACAGGGGTTTAAAAACGTCTCGGTTACGTATGTAACCCTAGTTCCCTGATAGGGAACGAGACGCTGCGTCAAACGCTGTGGGAACGCCCCTGCGTTGTGCGTCATGAAGCACGTATGGAATCAGCCCAATGGAGAGACGGAACGTCATAGGCGGGTGACGTCATCGACCAGGAAACTATAAAGCACCCCAAAAACACAAGCGCATCAGCTTCTGATAGGCCTGAAGGAGCGCTTAACGGGAATGCCGGGAGTATGGCAGAACGACGCAGCGTCTCGTTCCCTATCAGGGAACTAGGGTTACATACGTAACCGAGACGTTCCCTTTCAAGGGAACTTCGAGCTGCGTCAAACGCTGTGGGAACGCGAATACCCACGTCGCCATAGGACCAAGTGACCGTCATGTGAGATCTAGCGCACAGCGGACGAGAGCACCTGCACGGTGAAGACCATCCAGTCTCATCACAAACCTCACTCAGGGAAACTCCTGACAATAAAGCTTTGGATGCAGCCATACTCCTAGTAGAGCGGGCTCGTACAGCCAAAGGCGAAGGCTGACCAGCCGACTCATAAGCAAGTGAGATAGCCTCGACCACCCACTTGCTCATTCTCTATTTAGACGCAGGACACCCTTTCCTGGGTGGCCCGAAACATACAAATAAATGTTCTGATTTCCTCCACAGGGCAGCTCTGTGGACATAAGCGTCTAACCCCCTCACTTGGCAGAGCAAATTAAGTTTCTCCTGGTCTGACGACAGAAATGGAGGAGGACAGAAAGCCTGCAGAACTGTAGGTCTAACAACATTAGTAGGGACCTTAGGAACATAACCTGGCCTAGGGTATAGAAAAGCCTTAACCATACCAGGCGAAAATTCCAGGCACGAACTGCTAGCCTCAGCCTCAAAGTGCCACGAAGGAAACGAGTTATAAGCGGGTGTCTCCCAAGAGAAACTCCACTGAAAGGGACGTGGTAAGCAGACAGTGCCGCCACATACACCTTTAGTGTGGAGGGGGATAACCCTGTGGAGAAACGCTCCTGCAGGAATTCCAGCACTGCACCCACTGGGCAGTTAACTGGGTCCTACAGGTGTTCTCCATACCAAGAAGTGAAAAGTTTTCACTTCAAAGGCATATAGCTTCCTCGTGGATGGAGCTCTGGAGTGAAGGATGGTCTCAACAACCTCGGTTGAGAGACCGGAATCTAAGAGCTGGGCCCCCTCAGAGGCCAAGCCCACAGTTTCCATAACTCTGGGCGGGGGTGAAATATCATGCCGCCCGCCTGAGAGAGTAGATCCCTCCTGACCGGGAGCTCCAAAGGAGAGCCGTCCAGGAGAGAAACCAGGTCCGCAAACCATACTCTGGCCGGCCAGAACGGGGCTACTAATAGTAGGCTGACCCCGTCCTGGCGAACCCTCTCCAGAACTCCTGGTAGCAGAGCAATCGGGGGAAAAGCGTACAGACGTGACCTCGGCCACGGCTGCACCATAGCGTCCAACCCCAGAGGGGCTGGATGACTGATGGAGAACCACAGACGACAGTGCGATATCTCCTTGGAAGCGAATAGGTCTGCCTCGGCGCGACCGAAACTCAACCAAAGGAGCTCCACCACCTCGGGGGTGGAGTCTCCATTCCCCCGGCCTCGGCCCCTGCCTCGACAGAGAGTCCGCTACCAAATTCAAATACCCAGGAAGATACATTGCTAGTGATAGTAACTTCCCTAGGGACCACAGGAGGACCTGACGGGCCAACTTGTAAAGCCGGCGAGACCGCAGGCCCCCCTGACGATTTATATAAGAGACCACCGACATGTTGTTTGACTGAACTAGCACATGATGACCTCTCAGGTCTGCCAGGAAGTTTTTCAGAGCCTGAAACACTGCCAACATCTCTAGACAATTTATATGCCATGATAGATGATGGTCCTGCCACAGACCTTGGGCTGGACGACCACTCATGACCGCCCCCCACCCTGTGAGGGAAGCATCCGTCGTTAGCTTTATGCGACGACAAAGAGCCCCCAGCACAGGATCTTTGGATAGGAACCAAGTTTCTTTCCACAAGACCAGAGCACGAAGGCAGCGCCGCGTGACTTTGATCGTGTGGAGTGGATTTCCCCTCGGGGAGAATCCCTTGGTCCTGAGCCACCACCGCAGCGGTCTCATGTACAACAGGCCAAGGTATAACGTTGGACACTGCTGCCATCAAACCCAACAGTTTCTGAAACTGCTTTACAGTGAGTAGCTGGTCTAGCTTTACTGTTTCAAGGCTGAAGAATCGAAGCGATGCGGGTGACCTAATCCCAAACAACGCCCAGAAAAGTGGTCTCCAGGGAAGGAGATAAACACTTTTCTTCGCGTTCATCAACTTCCTGATATGCGCGAGGACGACATCTCGATGTCGAACCGCCATCTGCTCTGTAAAGTACGGGGAGATAGCTAGACCGAACGGAAGAACCCTATATTGGAATGCCTCGCCCCCGAAGGCAAACCTCAGGAACTTCCTGTGTTGTGGAAGGATGGAAATGTGGAAGTAAGCGTCCTTTAGATCTATCGTGACAAACCAGCCCTCGGACCTGATTTGTGACACGACCTGCTTGATAGTGAGCATCTTGAATTGAGCTTCCCTACCGAGCTATTTTATAGGCGCAAATCTAAAATTGGACGCAACCCCCCATCCTACTTTGGAACGATGAAATATCGGCTGTAATAACCTAGCTCCAAACTGGGAGGAGGAACCCGTTCTATAGCCCCCTTTTGAAGGAGCGTTTTCACCTCTTGTTCCATTACCAGAGCCTGCTCGGGGCCCACACTATGGGCAGAACCCCTCTGAGTTTCGGTGGACGACACCTAAATTGGATCGCATAACCTCTTACTACTGTCTGCAGGACCCACTGAGATATTCTTGGAAGGCTTTTCCACTCTGCCAAACATATTCTACTAAGGGTACCAGTCTCTCGAGACTGGTCTCTGGTGTAATTTGAGCAGCAAACACAGCGCCCTGTAACGGCGCACCGGCAGGGAACAACTGGTTTGACCGCTCTGAGACCCTCCTCAGAGGGAGCGAGCGTCCCTCGGAAAAGCACTCGCTGGGACCGTCTACGCCCCGGCATGAAGGCGGGGTTGGCAGAACGGGCCCCTGAGGGCACCGAGGAAGAATGGGCACCGTAAAAAGAGGTGAACACCTTTCTCTTTCGATGGGGACCACCCTCGGTGTCAGAGGAGGCGAGCGTCCCTCGGGAAAGCGCTCGCCGGGACCGTCTGCGCCCCGGCATGAAGGCGGGGTTGGCAGAACGGGCCCCTGAGGGCACCGAGGAAGAATGGGCACCGTAAAAAGAGGTGAACACCTTTCTCCCTCGGTGGGGACCGCCCTCAGCATAGCCAATATAACTGTCCTCAAATCAGTTCTATTGCTTTTTTATATATATATATATATATATAATATTATATTTATTTTTCAAAAAGCTTTGGCTGAGGGTGCCGCGTCTGGTCCCACTGTCATGCAGGGGGAGCGCGGGACGCGATACTCTGCTTTGCTGCGCCTATGCGATGAGCTCGTGGACGGCCGGGGCTGCTCCCGCCCAGCAGCCCCGTGGACGTGAACTTTTAATGGAAGAAACCTTTTAAAAGCTGCTGCCTGCTTCTTTTCTTCCTGAAATTATCAATGACAGTATTAACTAAGTCACTGAATAACCCCGCAAGGGAGAGAGGATCATCTAAAAGAAAGCTTTCTCTTTCTGTTTCATGTTGGAAAAAAAAATCATTTTACCACAAATCGGCAGCCTGACGCAGTTCTCGAACCACGTCAGTACTGCCTCCTCACTCACGTCCTTTAGCAAATCAGCCTGGTATGCCTGCAATATAGACATTGTATGCAGACACGTTGCAGCCTGACCTGCCGCCAAATACACTTTACAAAGCCGAAATATTTCATAATGGCTTGGAAGGTAATGCCGGTGCTTTAAATGACAATGCAGCCTCGGAAGAGAGATAGCTCGCAAGCGTCTCTTCTACCCGCGGCAAAGCGCCGTCTTTTCTTTTCAAAAACCTAGCCCCCGTTAAATCTGAATATGTGAATGATTGGGGGCTAAAATTATATCAGAAGCCTGCTTCTTCCATAATCTCGACACCTCAGTATGGAGATCATGAAAAAACGGCAAGCACCGGCATGGAGGTTGCACACGGGAAGGGAGAAATCTTTCATCTAACTTAGATTTAATAACAGACTCCTGCCTAGCCACTGGCCACTCAATGCTTAGTTTTAATACAACTCGAGTGAGAACCTCCATGAGCTCTTCGCTTTCGGGAGTGTTAGGTGGCGAGTCCTCCACATCTCCCTCGTCAATACTGCTATTTTTATCTCCTAGTTTTTATAACTGTATAACGATAGTTGCAGTACTGGTGCCTCAGCCCGGGCGGAAGAAACCGCAGAGCGTGCTTCCAAACCGGGCTGAGACACTGGATCTAACAGGTAAAGGCAGAGATAAGGCAGAGCCCGTCTCTAACCCCGCTGAAAGATCCATTTGCGATCCCCACGATAAGCGTCGCCGCTCAGCCTCGGCAGAAGCGGGACTCGAACCGCGGGGAGCGCGCACCGAGCACTCTCCTCAGAGAGCGCCCGGCGGTAGCGGAGCGTCCATAAAGGCAGACGCTCGCAATGCTCGCAGCCAGCCCCTCGAGAGCTGACTGGGCATGCTGCACTTCCAAACAAACGACACAAAGAACGTGTGTATCCCCGCCCGTTAGATAGCGCGAGCAGGGAGGAACACACTTCTTAAATGCCGTTCGCTCGCCATAGTCTCTCATACAAAATTGTTTGTGTGGTGTAAATGTGATAACTCCTGCCTAGCAAATACTAAAGACAGACACAGTGTTTACACTCAGACAGATTCACATATAGCGCGACTGAAGGCACAGAAGCTGATGCGCTTGTGTTTTTGGGGTGCTTTATAGTTTCCTGGTCGATGATGTCACCCGCCTATGACGTTCCGTCTCTCCATTGGGCTGATTCCATACGTGCTTCATGACGCACAACGCAGGGGCGTTCCCACAGCGTTTGACGCAGCTCGAAGTTCCCTTGAAAGGGAACTACTTTAGAAAGATGGAATCATCATTATTTTATTTTTACACAGAGATTGGTAGGTCTATTTGTAAAATCGGTTAACCTTAGCAATCTTTGTTTCATTATATGACAACAGTGAGTTCTTGTGTTGTTTTGCCTCAAGTTTGCATGCCTGCAACTCAAGAAGATATCTTAATATCCTTTCAGATTCTGGTTCTTAAGAAACTTTCATTTTGGTATCTTCATTTTAACGGGACTCAATGGTTCATTCAATCCCATAGATATTGAGGTCTTAATGCGGCTCCATGAGTAAATTGGTCAATTGTACACATTTTCAGTGGTCAAAAACCAAATGAGGGTCACTTTGCATACAGCTAATACTTTTTTCTTTTGGAATCACTTCGACGCGGCGCTGTAATATCTTCACTCGTGAAAAGTCCCCTCTCCCTCTCCCTCTCCCCCTCTCCCCCCTCTCCCTCTCCCTCTCCCTCTCCCTCTCCCTGTCATTTCCGTCAATAGAACCAACGTGACCTGCACGCCTGCAGTAGTAGTAGTTTTTTGTGCAGAGTTGACGAAGTATCAGGGAGAGGGAGAGGGGGAGAGGACTTTTCACGAGTGAAGATATTACAGCGCCGAGTCGAAGTGCTCCCAATAAGTGCTATTCCGCCATACATTATAGTTATCCATTTTACCCGCTTATAAAAAGCGCCACATTTTATTTAGTGTCACCATACTTGGTCGTGTAACTACTCGTGTAACTATATTTAAATAGAGAAAACGTGGATGTGTTTGGTCGCTTCTAACTTCATCTCTGTTTGGCCCATGTACAATGAATGGGGCTAAGCTAACTGCTCTCAAAGTTCTCCGCCCGACAGAGCGATTAAGTGCACGCACTGAGACGAGAGAGGTATGTATCAACTCGTCTTAGATAAGAGAATAACAGTTAATATGAAAAAACGGTGGAGTATCCCTTTAAGAATGAGAATCTAGAAGGATGTTAAGATATTGAATACTTTTAGAGTTCCAGGCATGGCATGGCAACTTTAGAAAAAAAAAATTATGGCACTCAGACAGGTATGTTCTATGCAATTGTGCTAAGAGGAGATATTCCTCTTTAAAAGAAAAATGTATCAGCTGTATGCAAAGTGACCCACATTTGGTTTTTGACCACTGAAAATTGACCAATTTACTCATGACTCATTTACAGAGACTCGTTTCTCTGGGATTGAACCATTGAGGGCCTTTAAAAGAAGATACCAAAAGAAAAGTTTGTTAAAAACCATAATCTAAAAGGATATAAAGATATCTTTAATAATTATTGAGTTACAGGCATGCAAACTTGAGGCAAAAAAAAAGGTGCTTTTTGTCATTTTTGTCACTGTTGGCATATAATTAAACAAAGATTGCTAAAGTCAACAGATTTTACAAATAGACCTACCAATCTCTGTGTAAAAATAAAATAATGATGCTGCCATCTTTCTAAAGTCATTTTTACACTCCTCTAATTTGATAAATTAATTAATTAGATAAATAATTTATAAAAATCGATATATCTCTGGTTCTCGTAATTAAATCTTGAAAACTATATCATATTTTTTTTTTCAGTTTTATCATTGATCTGGTTTACTTTCTAATGTACACTGGTTACACTTACTTTTTACAGATTGATACAAGTTACAAAACTGTGTCTTCCTACAGTAAGGATTCAGTAAGAGTCACTGGCTTCAGGTAAGGTCTATAATTAAACATTCACTCAAAAAGTTCCATTTTAGTTTTTACCTCTTGTTAAAACAGTGTTTTCTCGTTGTTGTGGTTTGTGTGTTACTCCATAGGCCTGGTAGCATTATAGCAGACTATGAATTTAATGTAAAAACCAACAGCCTCAGCGACCTCAACGGCGATGATTTTACATCAGCAAACTTAAATGTTTTTAAAACTCTCCAGGAGGCTGGAATCCCTGTAGCTCTGAGTGCTTTTTCTGAAAGTGGTAAGGGTTGTCATTATCTAATCTTAAACATTTTAAACACAGTTCTATTCTCCCCTATGAATCTGTATGAGTTTTGCTTTCAGAACAAAAGAACCTGTCAACTGCAGAAAAATGGTATCCCTTTCAAAAGATGGAGCTGAGATGTATTCGCCCAGCGTCTGTTCAGGGTGAAATGACATGGACAGTGAATGGCCAAGATCCTACACTAGACACCCTTAGATACTTCATTTCACCTGACCGTAGCACTCTCATTGTGAACAATGCTACCGAGAGAGACAATGGTGAGTCACACATAATGTATCTTTGTCCTATCAATGATATTTTACATGACTGACTGATCAGATATCAACCTCAAATTTGGAACACGACTTGTTTAGATTTATGGCTTTGATTTTCTAGCAGTTTTAGAGTTTAACATGTTTCATAAAATATAATTATAGATTAAATTTTATATAAAATATTGTATTAAATGTTTTATAACATTATATAAAATATTGTTCATAAATCATATTCATAAACTTAAACCTCTATAACTTTTTTTTGTTTCACTTTAAAAAAAAAAAATGTTTTACTTCAACAATCTGCCAGTGCTCTTCTTTAAAATTATACCAAACTTAAGTTTGTGCTCCCAAGCTTCAAATTTTTATTAGTTTCTTAACATAGACATTTTCTTTTAAATTGACGCACAAGGGTTAATTAATATTAATAAGTCAGTCCTTCCCCTTGTACTGTTCATAAACTGAAATCCTGTGTATTGTGCAGATGTGCTTGAGATGTATTGTCTTGCAAAAATTAAGCCACGTTTTAAACTCAGTTTTTATATTAATCTTTTAATATCAATGAATAAATAACCCAGAGATCAGTTTAGAAGGAGAAATGTCAAAACTGAAATGTCCACAATTTAACATTAGGATATGATTAGAACAACACATTCTCATCCCAAGGCGTCATCTAACTGACACTTTTGACCATGCGTCAACATGCCGACGCACACGGTACCCCTTAAGCGTCAATATGAGACGCTCATCCTCGGGCGTCATCTAATTGACGCTTTTGACCATGCGTCTAAATCCGATGCACATGGCACGCTTTAGCGTCAGTTAGATGATGCTTCCCTTATGGGTAGGTTTAGGTCTGGGGCAGGGTTAGGGTTAGACCACTAGGAGGTGCGTCTCATATTGACGCTTAAGGGGTACCATGTGCGTCGGCATGTTGACGCATGGTCAAAAGTGTCAGTTAGATGACGCCTTGGGATGAGAACGGGCTGGATTAGAAATAATAGAAAGTTCACTTGAAATGTAAATAAATAAATTTGATTAGTAATGTTATTTTTGCTCAATTCACAAGCACAAAAAAAACATTATTTATGTTTTCACTAGTTTGATAAGTTAGTTGACTAAATAGATGCATGAATAGACACTTGGATAGTGTAAGGGGCATATTAAGGCACCTTTAGCTGTTTTAAATAATGCCAGGTGTTAAAACCATAGTGACTTATATCCTGTAGCAGATTTTTTTTTATTTATTTTTTTTATTGCTAGCTAGAGAGCCTACTGTAGCTTACTGTATAGGAATATCAGCCGAAAAAGATGTGAGATAAAAGAAAAGTGTGTTTCGGGGGAGAAAATGTAATCGCATGTCACATGACCGTAAATAAGAGAATAACAACATTAATTTTAGGATTTATCGCACACAAAAATCATACAGGGTTAGAGTTATGAGAAGTTAGGTAAATATTGACAGAATTATCATGCTATTGTACAACTTCAGGCATGTATTGTTTTCATTTTGAGCATATTTAATAAAAAATCTTAAACAGAAGAACTAAACTAAAGAAAGTAAACCAATTTAAAATCATTCCTTTTTTGCTTTAGAAAATAATAACTTATGTATGTGTTGTGGCAAAAATTCATCTCAAACAAACATCACTGCGTAAGAGACACTCAGAGTCAAATTATATAAAATAGAAGTATTTATTCTTGCAAGAATAGGAGCAGTCTAATACACAGTTGTTACCCTGTGCAGAAGAGTGACACACCCCCAGACAGACTGAACTAGCTTTTATCTTAGTTTCAAGGCCTTCTTCCCCCCAGAGCCTTCCTCCCAGTAGTTTTCCATAGACGTCACTAGTTGGCCCACTAAGCTCCCCTGCACTAAATGGCCTTCTGACATCTAGGTCAGAGGTCCTTGTTCGTCTGTTCTCTGGAGTGTCTCCCTCTTCTGCCTCCCCAGGTACATAAACAGAATCTTCTCTCACTACAAGTGAGAGACACACATGTGACATTCTTTGAATCATCTATATTTAACTAAAGATCAATGAATATCATTAAAATTGCCACCACAACTCCTCACTTTTTATCATTCTGATTACCCATAATCACAATAATAAACAATAAGACAAATTTTAAGTCATATCATCACACTTATACTCTTCATCTCTGATTTTTGCATAAATGATCACTCTCCTTGAACCTGTGAAGAAAAGTTTAGAATGAAGAAGCATAAGGCTGTTTTTGTGGGGGAAAGGCCCCGTAATATTTTAGCTAGCAAGTAAACATGTTTACGGTGCCGGGCTAAGCGAGAAATCTCTGTTCCTGCGCTCCTGTAAACAGACCCTCAGTCACACCAGTAAGGAAAAAGGTAGTTATAACATAGTAAGGAAACAAACAGATAAAAGTATAATAAAAATCACTCAGTTTCAAACCCTATCTTTGTACGCCATCTCGTAACACGGATGACTGCTGCTTTTAACCCTCTTTAAATCTTTTGCCCTTAATCTTTCTCAGAAAATAAACAAATAGAAGAAAAACAAACAGAACATACATTTAACACATCTCACTGTAGCTCCCGCTAACTGTATCGTCGCATAATTTTGTTCATCCTTGGGATAGACTGTCATTTTTTACCAATTGAACAGACAGCAGGTTCTCACCTGTCTCTGTAATCATATTCACCCATGAATAACAAAATTATCACAATAACAATCCTAACTCCTATCATTAAGCCTTTTCCATTAATCTACGCCCATCTCCATATTTCACCTTGGTTTTCCTAACCATATTTTGTTCACTTCTAATTCAATTTAGTAAGCCCTATTTAATGCCATATTTAACAAAATCTAACCAGAGAAGTCTTATAATTTTATCCATTCTTCTAACCAATGCAGTTCAATATTAACTCTAATATTTCCATTACAGACACAATCAATATATTTTCTACATTTACAATCAAATCAATACCTAGTTTGATTCAATCAAACAAAATCATCACAAAAACAGATTCTTCTATTAAACTTAAACCATCAGTTGTGTTGATCATCTCGTTCGCCCCACAGACGTTCCGTGTTCGCCAGGGTGACACTTTGCGTGCCGTTGCAATGGTCTTTCCCTCGTAGGTTCGGGAGGTACGTTACTAGCACGTCCTTGAATCCCTTACTTTGTGCTCTATTGGATGCTTGAGGCCTGTTGGTGTTGTCTAAGGTGAGAGGCTTGGACCCAGGTGACACATTCTCCAACCATTTTCTGATCCTTATAAGGTTTTCCCTTATATCACGACCACACCCACACTGGAGTGAACTGTCACCTGTGAATGGAGACCTTAAGTATTTTGTTAGTGACCGCTTCACAGCCGCTCGTCCCCTTTGGTGTGACCTGTGGAATCAACAACCTGAAACATTATCTCCGGATAATTTCTTGCTCACTTAATAGCACTCGGGGTCCTTTTACCCTGAAAAACACTCAACCCACTTTGCTCATGTCCACACAATATTTATACATTTGGAACAGAATTAGTTCTGTTGGATCCAATCCATCCTGACATTCTGTAAAAGGAAAATTTTAAGTTATGCGCTGCGCAGGTGTAGCACCTTTCTGCCACAATAATAACCCAGGCCAGGATAGTTAGCCAAATTCATCCATAACCATTATTTTATTGGCACATTTTGCCCTGTCTCCCAATCCTGCATGGTCTCTGTAAAGAGAAACAAATTTCGAAGTTATTGTCAGATAGTAAAGTACGTAGTTTCTTTTGTCTACTGTTCTCCCGTGTCCTTCGATGCCCTGGCGTTTCCTGTTGAAACAATCTTTGTTATTGGTGTGTGCACACTCACAGACATCAATTTTGTTAGGCAGAAAAAATGGCTTCTTTCAGGGCTTTTATCAAATTACCCCTAGTGTTCTCCCAACATTTATTCAGCAAATGTTAACCCCTTAATAAACCATATTTGGCAATTGTTATACCATCTCCCTCTTGATGCACGACACAACACTCAAGCATCAATTTAACACTAACCCAAACGTTGTCCTTCAGACAAATTCCCTCCAGACATCTTTCTCTGCCTCTGAAACAAAAATATTACATTCTTCATATCATGTTAATCCCTGTCAATCATACAATGCCTTATTTTATTCTAAAACTTTTCATATCATTTAAACAGTTAATTTGACTTCCATAAATTCTGTCAGACCATGTCTATTTTCATCACATATAGTTTTCTACTATATTTCTCCTTTCTTTTCCCTACATGCCAGTTCCTTCATTATCCTCTCCTTTCTTTTCTCAAACATGCCAGTTCCTTCATTATCTAACCAGTACATGATTGTTTGAACAATCCCCACACACACGTCTCACACACCAACCTTTTTGTTTTTTCACTTCCCTCTTCCACCAAGTCTCACTTACAGTTCCCTCTATTTCACACAGACAGCCTTATTGCTTCTTGCTACTTCAATCCTTGTCATATAAATTTAAGTTCTATAGACATCTAATGTCATGCATCCATTTACTGGATGAAGAAGTAAAAAAAACATTATTTCTCCTGGCAGTTCGACATTTTATCTTCAACTGAACAATCCATTATCTGTTCACATTTTTTACACACATGTTGAACGCAGCCACAACAACCTTTTGTCCCGCTGCCCTGTTCCACTGATTCTCGCACACTCTTAGTCTATTTGTGCTCATGGTAGCTCATGATCATGGTATTTTCTCAGTTTTTTCCCCAATATCTAAAACATACATTTCCCCCATACTTTCCTAGTTCTACAGAAAACCGGTGTATCAAATTTCGCAAGCTTGCTTTTGAGACATCCCCATACTGGCTGTTTTCTGTTCCCTGTGGATTTCTCTTCAACGCGCGTTTTCTTTAATCTGTTAGGCGTCCCTAAACAAATCCGATTCTTTTCTTTTAACCCAAATCGGTCGGGTTGCACTATTAGTGCCCTCCTAATTAAGGTTTACCAAAAACTGTTCTGGTTCCCCCTAATTAGCCTCAGTACCTAAAAACAATTTTCTCCGTCGTGGAACAACTAATTTTCAGGGTACCTATCTGTTTGAAATCTCTTGATCTGTTACAGTTCTCACTTAATCCCAGATTATTTATCTGCTTGAAATTTCTTGTTCTGTTACAGACCTCAATTAATCTCAGATTTTTCCCTCGTATCTGTTTGAAATTTCTTGATCTATATAGATCTCAATTAATCTCAGATTACGTACCACAGAAACAGCCTTCAGCCAATATGGTTCAATTTCACTCTTCTTCCCATTAAACCGAATTTAAATGACCCTTACCAGAGACGTTGTTTCATGCCACTTGCGGGTTCTTTAGATTCCAGTGGTCGATTCTCCCGGCCCTGATATCGGTCGGCCCCTCTCTCTCAAGTTTACGAGGTAGAGCTGGAACTTACTTAGTCCAGGTGGCCAAACACCGTCCGATCTCAGGTCCAGGAGGCACGTCCAAGGAATCCCACTTCTGACACCAAAACTGTTGTGGCAAAAATTCATCTCAAACAAACATCACTGCGTAAGAGACACTCAGAGTCAAATTATATAAAATAGAAGTATTTATTCTTGCAAGAATAGGAGCAGTCTAATACACAGTTGTTACCCTGTGCAGAAGAGTGACACACCCCCAGACAGACTGAACTAGCTTTTATCTTAGTTTCAAGGCCTTCTTCCCCCCAGAGCCTTCCTCCCAGTAGTTTTCCATAGACGTCACTAGTTGGCCCACTAAGCTCCCCTGCACTAAATGGCCTTCTGACATCTAGGTCAGAGGTCCTTGTTCGTCTGTTCTCTGGAGTGTCTCCCTCTTCTGCCTCCCCAGGTACATAAACAGAATATTCTCTCACTACAAGTGAGAGACACACATGTGACATTCTTTGAATCATCTATATTTAACTAAAGATCAATGAATATCATTAAAATTGCCACCACATATGTATGCATTTTTTCACTTGCAGGTAGATACTCCTGTATTATTAAAAGGGCCCCATTACCTTATATTCAGTGGCAAAATATAACTCTTGAACCACGTCCCAATATCCTGTTGAATATGATGGATACAAAGCTTCAGTGTACTGCCCAGACAATTCAACTGTCTTGCTGTGAAGATAATTACGGTGTTGTGTGGGATAATGAGACTTCAAAAGGTTGTACATACAGATATTTATATATATTGCAATATAGTCTTACAAAACTGAAAAAAATCAGGGAATGTTTTAAATATGTTTTAACGATTGTATTTACCCATTTTATGCAATCAGATGGCAGCAGATGTCTCGTATTCAATTATCAAATCCACAGTGATAATTGTGGGGAAAACATCTTTACATGTCGAATCAAGAACCAACCAGCAGTACAAACTTTCAGTTATAGCTGGAAAAGTGTCACAGTTGGCACAATCAAAGAAAGTAAGCCTTAAGTGTTTCATTATTTACATGATTCAGCAGCAAGTTCATTTATCTGTTGTAGTTGTCTAAAACAAATAATTGATTTTTTCTGACTTGCAGCATTTGCCTGTAGTGACTTGAATGGAGTTGGAAAAATAGGTGAAACTGTAACAGGAGCCTGTGAAAACACCAAAGAAGGCAACATAACTTATCTGTGTACATCAGAGGGATGGAGTAAAACGGAGGACAACTGTGTAGTTAAAGACATCAAAGACCTTCAAAGGAAAGCTGAGGTAATCTATTGGTTGTCTATTTATTATTAAAAAAGAAAAAAGAAAGAAAGAAAAATATGATCGATTTGAAATATTTCTCAAATTTCTTGTTTTATATTTGTAATTTAGTTCTTGACTGAGGTTCAGATACCAGATTTTGTGGCTCAGCTCAGTAATGCTACAGTGAAGAATAATCAGGAGATAACACAGTCTCCTGTGACTGTCCAAACAATTGTTGAGATACTTGTACAAATTGCTAAAGTCTCACAAAAAATTACCATCGATAAGATTGTGATAGAGGTATGTATATTCAAGTTTTTTGTGCAAATTGTGTGTTCCTCACAGAAAAAAAACGTGTTGTATAAAACTTGCTTGTTGTATCTAGTGTATTGAATATGAATATTGAATACATATAGCATGTATATCATATAACATGAGCAGTATTTTTCAAAAGCAAAAAGATAATGCAAATCTTTTCAGTTTCCATTGAAAAAAAGGTCATTAGTCATATTGATGCATCATACAGATTTTTTTTAAAACAATCTTTTGAACTCTTTTGATTCTCATGAGTTAAATGTTTATCATTTCTCTATTTTAAAATCGAATATATATTTATGCATTACAAAATGTCAATTAACTACTGGATTTGAATAATCTTTATTGTTCAATCTGATTAAATACAACTGTTTCTACTAAACATTAATAACTTTTTACAGGGTTTTCTTCAAACAGTGGACATCCTTGTATCAAATGATACCATTAATTCATGGAAAAAATTGAATAATAACAGCACATCAGGAAACACCAGCATTGAACTTCTGGCCGCTATTGAGAATATGAGTAAAAATCTCGCAGAGGACAATTTTACGATTAATAGCACAAAATCCCTTGAGTTGAACAGAACAGTAGTAACTACATCATATAGTGGAACATCAAAACTGTCAAACTCAACTACTGAGATTCTGATACCACAGGTTTTTAAACCAACCTCCTTAACCATTATCGTCTTCTCAAATCTTGACAAAATCCTACCTACTCGTAATATTAGTAATAATGACAGGAAGAAATCAGTTTCCCTCATCAATGGAGATGTGGTAGTTGTTAAGGTTAACCAAATGGTTAACAACATTTATTTTACTTTTGACATTACGAATGCATCTTTGGGAAATCCTCAGTGTGTCTTTTGGAACTTCAGTCTTGACGCATGGGATTCCAGTGGATGTGAAGTAAAGCCCTCAGTGAACAAACCTGGCAAGATTACATGTGAATGCAACCACACAACCTCTTTTTCAATCCTGATGTCCCCATTTCCTGATGAAAGTGATCTCTTGGCTTACATAACATATATTGGCGTAGCTATTTCAATGGTCAGCTTGATTTTGTGCCTCATTATTGAGATTATCGTGTGGAAGTCAATGACAAGAAATGACACATCCTACATTCGACATGTGTCCATAGTCAACATTGCTGTGTCCCTGCTGTTCGCAAACATCTGTTTTATCATTGGAGCCGCAGTCGCGCAACAAGAGCAGCCAACATCAGTGGGTCGCTGCAGTTCAGTGGTTTTCTTCATGCACTTTTTTTACCTGGCCCTTTTCTTCTGGATGTTAATTTCAGCGCTGTTGCTCTTTTACCGTACAGTCATGGTCTTTTCCCAAATGTCAAGGGCCAGAATGATGGCCATTGCCTTCATAGTCGGTTATGGTGCACCTTTGCTCATAGCGGCCATTACTGTTGCGTCGACAGCTGGACCTCAGAAATATATCATGAAAAAAGATGCATGCTGGCTGAACTGGGATGAGTCTAAGGCCCTGCTGGCATTTGTGATTCCAGCTCTCACTATTGTAGCCATAAACCTTGTGGTTTTGATTGTGGTTCTGTATAAGATGTTGAGGAGAGGAGTTATTACCACAACTCAACCGGATGAGAAACATGCCCTGGTGGTCATTGCCCGATGTGTGGCCATATTGACTCCTATCTTTGGTCTAACATGGGGATTTGGAATTGGAACCATGGTGTCCCGTAAAGTAGGCATTCATGTGGTGTTTGCACTCCTCAATTCACTGCAGGTATCACTTTCTGTCTTTTTGTTTTGACTTTATAGGTAATATTTAGCTTTTTTAAATGCTAACTTTAAAGCAATAGTTGTTACACAAATAATGCAACAATTATGATATTCTGTAATTACAACAATCCATTTTAAAGCCTCACAAAAATGCAATAAGTTTTTTCCAATGTTGTGAGATATGAAATTAATCAGCATTGCATCTATTGTTATTTACTCAAAAATATTTTTCTCATATTTTTGTAACACTTCTGCAGGGATTCTTTATATTGGTGTTTGGAACGCTTTTAGACAGCAAGGTATGAATGGATTTTTATCACTTTGCAATTTGACAAACCATTGTGTCAATCATTGTTAAAATGATCTTATAAGCATTCAGTTCTACTGCAGTGCTTTAATTCATTTTGTCACGTATGGTTACAGATCCGTGAGGCACTGGCAGAAAGGCTGTCACTAAGGAACCTTACCAGCTCTAACCGTACCAAGGTAAATGCCAACAAAACAATGCATCTGATCCGTGAGTTCTTCCTAATGATAGATGTACTCAGTTTACAACTGATATCTTAAATCTCTGTATTACAGAGTACTAGTGCAGGACCATCATCTTCAAGCGGGCCGGGTTTCTTTGAAAGGATACGTAGGAGAAGAAGTAAGTTTTGCAATTAAAATTGATACATTTTAATTTATCTATGATATGACAAGATTACTTTAAGTAACATGCAAATAATTATTTGCAGATATGTTCAACGTATCTGAAGCCAGCGCTATCTCAGCAGCAACATCTTCAAACAGCTCTGGTGGCTCAGATACTTTTATGAATCAATAATCAGCTACTTCATTATTAACTATTAGTCTACTTTGTTAAATATTAAACAGCCTTTTCCAAACAAGTTTTCAACACTGCAAGTATATGTAAACTGTACAATGTTACTAATTTCTGAAGTAAATTGTAAAAAGAATGTTCTGAAGTATTAATAAAAATGGCTTACAGTCTACAGATCTAATGTTTTACAGTTTTTCTCAGTCGCTTTGGTACATCTCTCGAATCATCCTCGACATTTGCAAAACAGTAAGTGCATTTCTCAAAACAATTTGTAAAAATGGCAAAACACCATGGATTACCTTCAAAAGCCAGTCTCTTGCTCAAACCCCTTAGTTCATCTCTCAAAAGTAAATATCTGTGTCAATGAACATGTCAGTGCCATCAGAATGACAAGTCCTTGTGTCATTGTGTACGGATAAGTCAAATTGCTTAGTCATGTTGTCAATATAACAGTGCTGGAGGAATGTTCTGATGTAAACTATGGCTAAAGTTTTGATGACAATTATTGTAAATTGTAGGTTACACCTTAGTGTATGTGGGAGTTTGATTGCAAGATTCACATTTACACTTTTACTGTTTGTACTGTAATTTGTTGAATGACCATATCATTGCGATACAGAAAGGAAAAGACTGCATAGCACAAAGAAAAAAAAGAACAGTGAATAGGACAGATTTAGAAAAAAAAAGTCTAATGGAAATGTATATAAATAAGCTTGACATATTATGACAACTTGTTCAAACATTTTGCATGTAAAGACTTATGCTATGAACTAATACCTAAAAGTTGTGGGGGGTGAGACATTTTGATCAACATCACATTAGCAATTGATAATGTAGGAAACAGCAGAGAATTGTACATAATCATTTGCATGGATGTACCAAAGCATTTGCAACTTGTTCAAAGAAATTAGAAACTGCTTTTTTGATGTGCACAAGTGACACAATGATGATGTGAAGATTGAACAGTGAAGAGTTTTGAGCATTTCAATTCTGATCTGAGAAATGTACCAAAGCGACTGAGAAAACCTGTAATTAATGACACATTTTATTGTAATGCTGTGATTTGCATGATTGTATGCACTTTCATTTATAACAGAACAATTATATCAATAATATAGATCTAGAGAAATAGTTTTAATGTATTTTTTCTTTGCCATTTTAAATCATCTGTTTTCTTGTCCAGTTGGTGTCATTACATGTATTATGCTGTTCTACACTGTATGGATTTTTTGTTTTTGTTTTAAATACAATTTGTATTGTTAGGTACACCAGAAATGAAATGCCTCTTTATTTTACATTTATTTTGGAGTTGAAAATCATGGCATTGTAGCTCTCTTGTATTGTATTATTTTTCAATGCATTTTACAATAATAATGAAATAGATCATGTTTCCAAATAATTGATTATTATTTTAAGCCATCACAGTATTAAGGTTAGAGTTTCTTATTAATTTTCACAATTATTTGAGCTTGGTCAACCTCACCTGCGTAATATTATACATTAAGTATAAGTGAGGACTTTGATTCTGAATCATTTGCATCTCTTTTAGTTCTGTCTGTATGTATTTAAAAACCCCGTTTCCCTAAAGCAAAACTAACACTTTTGATCATATCTGATGAGCATACAGTCACAGACTCTCTGTAACATACACACACCTTAATGATCAACTAAAACAAGTAAGCCTAAAAGCTTTGTCAATTATAATGTTACATTTTTTATAGAATTTTTTTTTTTTACAGTTGTGCTAGAAAGTTGATGACCTTTACAAAATGTAAGTATATTTTGGCATTAGATCTTTATAAAACAATAAGTAGAGGAATACTTTAATATATTTTAGCAAATGTGAAGCTTTGCCTTTAGTATTTGGTGTGATCCCAGTTCATAAACGTCCCCAGCATGTGCATAGTTCACTGCACAACAGCTCTGATGATATGCAAACAGTCATCATCAATTAAATATGGTCAAGCACATTATTTTTTTTTTAAAAATCATAATTTTATTGAACAAAAATGTCTCCTAATTTCTTCATGAACATGAATACAAACATAAGCCCGTTTTTTAAGATTTATGAATTTGAATTGTTTAGTCAAATTCAATCAAATATGAATTGAATAATCCTTACATATGATTCATATTATGAATTAAGAACTTTAAATGAGTAAAAAAAAAGTGTCCCCATGTCAACAAGCTTGGCTCCCCTAAATTTGGAATTGTATGGCACCAAACAATTTTCTGAAACAGGGTGCAATGTGCGGTTTTTCCTGTGGCAGTGGTGATGAAAAGAGTCATTTATTTTATCATAACCTTTTAAACTCCATGAAGAGTAAATTACTCGATGACCAAGATACAGGTAAAATAAAATATTTAATGTCAGTCATGTTCATGTCTCTATCTATAAATTACAGGAACGTCTGTCTGTCTGTGTGTCTGTCTGTTACTCGAATATCTCTCGAACTGTTAGTCCGATGGATTTCAAACTTGACAGGTGTCTTGCTAGGGCACGAGTAAGTGCAGTGCCGAGTTTTACATTGTTTGGATTAGAAATGCAAAAGATATCGTTAAATATATCTGTAAAAGAAGCATACATTGAAGTTGTGGTTTAAAAATAAACATTCTGACATTAGAGAGGGTTGTGGTTTAAAAATTGTGGTTTAAAAAAAACATTCTGTCAGCTAAACATTAAACTTCCTGCGCTTTCCAGCGCTTGCGCAGACCGAAGCGCCCGCGCCCTCAGATTACTTGGACGTGGCTGTGGTTACAAGAGGTAAAAACGATAAATACTGTTCGTTTTCTCACACAAACTGCTCGTATCGTGTCTTAGGCCATCAATGTGTACTTACATTTACGAGTCATTAAATCATGTTTAATTTGGACTTCTCTGTGCATGCTCTTTGAGGTGGTGACCATAGACCTGCATTACATGACTGACTGACAAGAACGGTTTGACCTAAAAATATCAAAATTGAAACTACTGCGGAAACAAAGACACCTACATCTTAGATGCCCTTGAGGTAAGCTAAAACATACCAAAAATTAATTTCAAAGTGAACTATCCCTTTAAGTCAGCTACACTGTATACTTCTGAAGTAAAAAAGTAGCGATTCTTTTCGAGAAATTTAGCGATTCTTTTCAAGGTTGTAATTATACATTTATTACAATGTAATTATACATTCTTTTACAGTGTTATTATACGTTTATTACAGTGTTATTATACATTTATTACAATGTAACTATACGTTTATTACAATGTATTTATACCGTATATACCCGAATATAAGACGACCCTGAATATAAGACGACCCCCCCATTTTCCAGACTTATTTTTGGGGAAAAATAGATTTTTGGGAAAAAAATCTGGTTTTCAACAGAAAATAATTTTAAGAGCAAATTTCCGAGGCGTTGTTCCAAATGCCTCGCATCACCTGTCCCTCGTGTAGAGGCCCGCTCGTCGGCGGAGACCGGCACATATGCGCTTCCTGATTGGCCATGACTGCGGCTGCCCTGACACCTGCGATCCTCGAAAACGGGTCCTCTGGCCGTTTTCGACGACCATCCGGCTCCCGCTCTCTCTCTCTCCCTCTGCTCGCCGTTCACAGAGGATGCCAGAGCGGACGGAGACAAGCGAGCAGAGACCCCCCCCCCCCCCCCCCCCCTGTTCACATATCGCGTCTTTTGCGCGCTCAAGTTCGTTATTTCAAATGTAGGCGCCCAGTATGCGCGCTCATAATGGAAGCGACGTGCTTGTTTTTTCCAAGCGGGAGAAAAAGGCTATCAATCGATTCCTCCACTTGAATATAAGATGACCCTGAATTTAAGACCCCCCATTTTTCAGCCTATTTTTAGGACAAAAACCTCGTCTTATATTCGGGTATATACGGTACATTGTATACAGTGTTATGTTTATAACAACGTAATTATGTTTATTACAGTGTTATACATTTATTACAATGTAATTATACATTTATTACAGTGTTATTATACATTTATTACAATGTAATTATACGTTTATTACACTGTAATTATACATTGTTTACAGTGTTATACATTTATTACAATGTAATTATACATATATTACAATGTAATTATACATTTATTACAATGTAATTATACGTTTATTACAATGTAATTATATGTTTATTACAGTGTTATTATACGTTTATTGCACTGTAATTATACCTTTATTACAATGTAATTATACATTACAGTGTTATACGTTTATTACAATGTAATTATTCATTTATTACAGTGTTATTATACATTTGTTACATTGTTATTATTATACATTTGTTACATTATTTTGTTACATTTTTTTTTGAAAAAGTATCGATTCTTTTTGAAAAAAGTATCGATTCTTTTTGGAAAAAGTATTGATTCTTTTTGAAGAAGTATTGATTCTTTTTGAAAAAGTATCGATTCTTTTTGGAAAAAGTATTGATTCTTTTTGAAGAAGTATTGATTCTTTTTGAAAAAGTAGCAATTCTTTTTGGAAAAGTAGCGATTCTTTTTGGAAAAAGTAGCGATTCTTTTTGAAAAAGTAGCGATTCTTTTTGAAAAAGTAGCGATTCTTTTTGAAAAAGTAGCGATTCTTTTTGAAAAAGTAGCGATTCTTTTTGGGAAAAGTAGCGATTCTTTTTGATAGTGTTATTATATGTTTATTACAATGTAATTATACGTTTATTACAATGTAATTATACATTGTTTACAGTGTTATACATTTATTACAATGTAATTATACATTTATTACAATGTAATTATGTTTATTACAGTGTTGTTATACATTTATTACAATGTAATTATACGTTTATTACAATGTAATTATACGTTTATTACAATGTAATTATACGTTTATTACAATGTAAATATACATTACAGTGTTATACGTTTATTACAATGTATTTATACATTTATTACAGTGTTATTATACATTTGTTACATTATTATTTTGTTACATTCTTTTTGAAAAAGTAGCGATTCTTTTTGAAAAAAGTATCAATTATTTTTGGAAAAAGTATCGA